GAATGGCAAAATAAGAATCCTAGTTTCGAAATTCCGTTATCAGCTGCTGTACGATCGACGGAGTAAACGAACGGGGGTAAACACGCGATAAATTTTTCCACAGGCTCGAACGATTGCAACATACGTATTTCTATAATACTTCGTTTTTCAACGCCGATGCTGTTTGATCGAGCTCGAAATCGAGACTTTACACGGCAATACCTGTGACGTAATGCGGTGGATGTCTGTAGAACAGTTTTTCTGATTGTAGAACATCTGCCGTTGTTTGAGAAAAAAAAGGTTAATTAAATATAGGATGTGATAAGGGAGGTTATTTATCATTGTACCACGTGTCGATGTTACACCTTAAAATTGATTAACCCTTTGCGATTCGAATAGTCAAATTAATTCACACTCATTTCGCAATTGTTGTTCGCCTTTATTTTAATATTTTAGCTTAATATTAGTTGCAAAATATTTAATTTCAGGATAATAGTAATGCACAAAAGAATGATTTGCTATCGTTTTGAAGGAAAAATTTTCTTTATTTTTAAAGCTTTATTTTCTCATTTTTTATGCATTAATTTAACGTTTTATGAATAATATTACGCTTTTATTCTTTTTTCCATTTTTTACTCGATAAAGGACTAAAAGAATAAAAGCGCAACATTAGTCATGAAATACGAAATTTCACAATAATATTTATTGAGAATAGATTATATTTTGAATTTTCCTACTGCGAGTTTCTCTGCTTAACGTAGGCCCAGGCTGGGCCATAAAAGCCATGGGTCCCCGCTGACCGTGGGGCGATGCCGAGTATATAACAAATGTTTTTCCGCATCTTAAGTAGTCGTGCGACAACCCCGAACTGAGTGACTGTTTTTCACTCGGGTTTTCGCCTCCGTTTTTTTGTATTTCATTTCCATCGATAAACGTTTTTTTTCTTCTCTGCAGTCGATTGAGTCAATCTTTATTCGCTGATTAAAGATCCTCAATAATATTAATGCATAAAAAATGGTTCATTATCGATTATAATTTATAATTTATCATTCTCTGATATCTGAAGGTAAAATTTCCTATCTCGAGTCAAGGGGCGAATAGAATGAAAGCGCAATATTAGTCATAAACTATCAAATTTCAATATAATATTAATGCACAAAAATCGCTTTATTATCGTTCATAATTTATAATTCCTCATAGTATGCTATCTGAGCCCAAAATTTCCTACGTCGAGTCAAATGGCTAACAGAATAAAAAAGAAAATTCGCCCAATTTCCGTCTTACGCGAGGAAAATATTCGAAAGAAGACAGCTCGGTATAATACGATACACTATGCGCTTCTTTTTCTTCTCCGGCTATACCCTTACGCGGTGTCATCCAACATGGCGAAGAGTGGAGGCTTGACGATAAGTAACCGGTGTTAAGCGATACCTGGCATACTCGTCGGCTACCCTGTCGAGGTCGCGGTCTTGCAGCCGCAGGTGCCAGCGCAGAATCAAACGAGTTTTGCCTTGTACACATCAGAGAGAGAGAGAGAGAGAAAAAAAAGGAAGAATTGGAGGAAGGTACGATTGAAGAGTGAAACGAAAGAAACTGGGGAAACCTGGTGTGAAGACTTAGGACTCGAAGGATCGCGACGATCGGTGACGTGCATTGGTTCCTGCGTTCTCTGTTTATTAAAACAGTTCAGAGCTGAAATGAGATCAGTCATGTACGACAATCGTGCTCCAGATCTGACGAAATGCTATAAACTAGCACTGTCAGATGTTAGCAACTCTGTTTCCAAGAAACGCGTGTAATTTCGATCGTTGAGCCTGCGTGACGAACATGTCTCGAGCCTGCTGGCGTAGACCGACCCACGGTACCGTGAGCAACTTTGTTTCTACTCGGTGAAATGTACATTTTCAATTCGTCCCTATTCTTCCTCTGTAAAATCCACGAAATCTCTCGTAAATCAATTGTAAAGACAGATTACGAGCGTCTATTACAGCATCGAAAAGCGAAAACGTGAGTTGACTACGCAGGTAGTCGCGTAATTTCCCGCCAACGAAGGCTGTTTGGCAATTTTTCAACGAGCTCGTTCCTCTCGATAGCTCCCACTTTACAGCCGGATCGTTTCGTTGTTAAGTGAAACGTAGACTCGTTCGGGAGACTGTTTAATTGCAGCCGCCAGGTCGAGAGACATTTCCTGTGAAAACACATTCCAACTCGACTAGGCACACTCGAGTGCTCTACGAGTAATCGCAATTGCGCGGTTAGATTACCTCGAGTGGGATCCGCGATCCGAATCAGCGGATTTTTCCCTCCGGTCTTAACCAGATGTTATCGAGGAAGAAGAAGAAGAAAAAGGGGGTATATTCGCGCAATTTCTCGAGCACAAGCCGCGATCGTACGTTATTGTACAACCGTAATAGAAGAGAAGATATCGCAAGGCGGTATCGTGGCAAGCATGAATTCTCCACACACACAGGGGATCTCTTATTGAACGAGGCCGAATAGTCGACGAATTCTCACGCGTTCAACTCTTCCATCGCGTCGGTGGTGGTGCACAGCAATGCCACAGCCGAGTATAATCGAGCGCCGAAGAACAGGCAAACACGCCCGTGGTGCCACGCGGTAACCTTTTTTCTGACATTTCTGCCTCGTGGCTCTCGGTTTAAGCCGAAAGGTTAAGCCTCTACACTCGCGCGCTTCGACAGACCTAAACGAAAGAGGGAGAGCCCGAGACGAGACGAATAGAGAATCGGCGGCAGAGGCCACGCTCCTATCTCTGCAACTTTGTGCCAACAGCCAACAGAGAGACGGGTCTCCGATCCTCTCTGTCGAAGGTCGAGCAACCAGTCGAACGTTTGCTCCACGAACCGTGCAGCGAGGTCGGAATCTCGTCCGCGGTCAGGAGGATTCGCTCGACCGTCACAGAAGCCAGCAACCTGGTCACCCAATCAGAGCGAGAACGAAACAAAAGAAAGGTGAAAAGACTTATCGCCCCGTGAGATCGAGCGCCTACATCCTGTGCTATCCTCCCCTCGTCGGTATCGTCCGCCGATCGATTCTTCCGTGACCGTAGCAATTACTATTAATCCGTCGTTAATTTCCTCCCGTCGCGCGATCAGCTTCATTTTATTCTACCCAAGTCCCGTAGAAGTCACGTAGAGCTTTGCAACCGGTCGGGGACCGTCTCGTGACCTAAAAAACCACGGACCGGTGGACAAAGAGGCGCTGGGTCACAGAGAGGAGACACCGCTTCCGTGAAACGCAGGCCGCTGCTACTCGTCGGTTTGGTATCTCCGATAGGAGGGCGCTTCGTGTGCGATCGGCCTTGCCCGAGTTCTTGCTTTTCAAGAACGCGCCTTGCAGAAACTCCGTAAGCTAACTTTTCTTTCCTCCTAGATAAACATCGATTTCTCTGTTCGCTGTATCTACAGTACACGTTCGAGATCGCATGAATCTTCGGATTTACGATCTCTACTCTTTTCTCTCTCTCTCGAATCGATCATCGAGGATGGAGAATAAATGTACTTAGGGTTGAATATGAAGTTGTAAATTGATTGATAAAAGATCGAAAAGAAAAATTGCTGGATAATTTACGGGGGTGAAACGATTAAAAGGATCGTAAACCGTTCCGTGGCGGCGAGACGATGTCATTTAAGACTCTCCACGGCGGACGCGATTCAGGGAAAGTCACACGCTCGTAAATCAACGCGGTAATGGGCACCGTTAGATTTGCAATGATAATCTCATGGTAATGCATGCGATTCGGTCGAGCGAGCGAACGAGAAAATAATTAACGAGCGAGCCGAGAGTTCGCCGAACTATCGGCATCGCCGAGCTGATCCCCGGGGATTTACGAGTTCCCGGATTTAAACCGGCGCAAAAACGAGCATCGGGGGATCTCGTCTGGCTTCGTAGGCTTGATAATCCGTCGGTAATTCTTGCTCAACGCTCGTACACAGACGGCTAGCGATTCCATAGTCTTTAGTCTTGCTATCCGAATTTTTTCCTTTTTTCCAAGAGGCAAGTAAGATCCCGTCGTTTTGCCCTTAATACAGAGTGTCACTCTTAAATATCTCCTTTAACTGGTATACAAAAAGTATTTCATATGCAATTTGAATGATATCGAAGCACCGATATCTATGGAAATAAGGTCAAAGGTCATACTATTATCCATATCCGAACGCGTTTCAATTTCAGCTTCAACACACACGAGAAAAAAATATGCACTTATATGGTGACCTTGAAACAAAAATATTCCTCACAGTGTATGTTTGTCTCTTGACAATTCTATTCAAATTGTATGCCAAACATTTCTCGAAGGAGATACTTGGACGAATCACCTTGTACGCTAATTTATAGATCCCTCAGGAACGAAGCGAGATATTTTCGAATTTAAACAGTTCAGAATAATTGTCCACTTTTTCGCAAAATACAAACCCACAGCAGATCTCTACTCTTTATAGTCCCCCCCCTGTGGAACGACACGATCGAGGGGTGCACGGCGAGTTTTCGCGACGTCGATTTCGCGAGTGATCTATCGATCTCCCCGAGCCGTTAATAAGCGTCCCGCCGACAGCGCAGGGTAAGGTGTACCCGCGGTTACCTCTAATTCAACTGATCGATCGCGGGATAAGGGGAGAACGTACGATGGGACACGGTATATAATGGACGATACTGCAGAGCGCCAAGCGACGTCGGCGGCAGCCATTTACCATTCAATTACGCCGCAATTACAGGATCGTGTGCGTTCCGCGGGCTCAAACCGCTCGACGTTTCGAGCCCTCACTCCGCGGAGATCTCTAATTGACGACCGTAAAACGAACAGCCAGGCAAAAGATTCTCGCGATTGCCACGCAAAAATAGCGGCTCGTAAAACGCAGCACCGTCGAAAAGAGACGGTTTTCCTTTTCCTACCTTTGACACGTGCAAACAAAACCCTTTTTTCCCAACAGGCTACCATATCGAATAAACGTAACGGAGAACAACGTTCTCAATGGTCGCGTCGATTAAAAGACCATCAAACTTACCCCTGTAGCGCGTGAGGAGGAGCTGGCCGAGGAGGAGGCGGCAACGACTTCCTGCCTGGAGTGTTCTGACGTGGCGCCAGAGGCGGAGGAGGAGAGCTAGGCGACCCAGAACCACCGTATCTGTCTGTAGGACACTGTGGCTGAGGCTTCTGCTTCGGTGCGTCGATGTATTTAGGCGGCAGCGCGTAGTAGTTCCTCTGTGTCACGTCGCTGTGACGTTGATGATGGTTAGGCACGTACTTAGGGGGTTCGTGATACTTCTGCGGACTGGACTCTGACGGGAACATCTTCGAGTTCGCCTCGTAACCTGTCTTCACCGGACTACCAATGGTGAATCCGTGATTTCCACTTTCCAGATACTTCGGCGAGCACTTGGAGTTCTCCGGGACGGGTAGATAGTTCGGTCTCGTTGCTTGATTCGACTGATTACTCGAGACACTCTTGTCGACGCTTTTAGGCACCTGCGGCTGAGGTCTCTGACCGGAGGACGACTCCAATCTCTGAGTAGCTTCGTTTCTAAGCAAACCTGAGACGTCGATCCTCGATCCGTCCACCCGCATAGACTCCTGACGAATGATCCTAGGTTCTACGGGCACCTGAGGAGCCGGTCGCTGATTCCCGGAGTCGCTGTATCGCTGAGAAATGAGATCGGGTAGCTGAGCAGGCGGTCTGCCAGAGAAAGGTCTCTCCTCCGAGATTCTTCTCGCCGGCGTCACTCTACCGTTCACCATTAACTTCTGCGTAGAAGGGTATCTCAAGCTGGACCGACCTGTGGCCACCATTCTGTGAGTGGCGAATCCAGCGGAGACTCCGTTCTCCAGCACCATTTCTGAATCGACGTGCTTCAATGCTATGGCTGCCCTGACGAACTGGTGTTGCTCCTGATCCTGGGACACCGTTTTCGTGGGCGAATTGGGGGAAGACTTGCCAGACTTTTCGTGCTCTCTCTTCGAACCATGCTTGGATCTCCTCATCGAGTGTCTCTCCAGCTTATGTCTGTCGCAGGATCTGTCGCGAATCTTCGACTCTTCGGACTGGTGGTGAGCGTTGCCGGACTTGCGCTGGTTGTCCGCGAAGCAGTCCTCGCTGAGCTCTGGCGGCGGTGGAGGCAGTGGATCGTCGCAATCGTGAACTTCGTTCTCGGTCACCGTCGGAGGGGAAGGTGGCGGCAAATCGGGGCTAGGCACGCGATCGTTGTAAACGTTTCTCAGGTGAGGCTTCTTGGGCGGCCTCTCTGGCACCCAGTCGTCGATCGATATAGCCGGCCCAACGATCACAGGGCCTAACAAGTCCGTGGAAAGGCTGCCGCAGCTGTTGCTGTGTTGGTGCTTAGGACTGGACAGCTCGCCGTTACCCTGACCCTGGTTTCTGTTGCCGTTTTCTCGCCAAGTGCCGCTGGCGTAGTCGGAAGCAGAGCTGGCACGTCTCGAGGAGGGTGGTCTAGGGCGAGGCGGTGGCTGTGGCGGGGGACTTTGAGGCGCAGGAGCTGTTCCTTGAGCTAATTGTGGCTCCGATCGCCAGGAAGCCTGGTGGTGTCTTTCGTAGAAGGAGAGAAGTGCTTTCTTCTGTATGGCTTTTAAGGTTGGGTCGGAGACTCTGTGACGTTTTTCTGGATCTAAATACGTGTAACGCATCTGCTGTTGTTGCTGCTGCTGTTGCTTTTCTAGCTCGTTTATACGCTCTGCTACCGTCATCTGTGGCTGCTGAGACTGTACCATTCTGAAAGAAATAACGCAAATTCAATGGATACCGTAATTTTTGAAAAGAAGATATCTGAAGTAACCCAAGTCAGTACCTCGAGGATGGAGTAGATTCCTGAGGCTGCGTGGTACTAACAGGATAAAGTTTGCGTTGGTTTCGTTCGCGATCCAAGTACAGCACACTCTCCGAGTGGTGTCTCTGCGGTGTCTGAACTCTGGCACTATGAGCGATCAGTTGCTTGCTGCAAGGAAGTCCATTAGCCTGACTAACGTCCGACATAGATCCGTGAATAGGATTCCAGTTTTCCGGACTCTGCGCGGTAGTTTGACCGATCTGCTGACGTATGGGACTTTGCGGCATAGGCTGTGCCAGTGAACCGTATTTATCACCCTCGATTCGCACCGAACTGTCCCATTGAGAACTCCCCTGCGACTTGTCCACCAAAGATTCCTCGTCGATGTTAGACTCTTGCCATTTGCTCTCTCTAACGGTGGACGAAACATCGGCCACATTAGCAGACGTATTACAGTGATTAATCACAGCCGGCAAACTAGCCCTGCCCTGACTCTGTTTATTGCGATCGTTCATCGAGACCTGCCACTTGTCAGGCCATTTCTCGCTGTGTCTCCCCTTCGTTGTAGGAGACAGGCCGCTAGTGCTGACGTCGCTCATTGAACCTTGCCATTTGTCGTGACAGCCGTTGTTCGGCTTCTGTGGCAAAATTCCACCGTTCACGCTGCTCACGTCCGACATCGACCCGTGGTGCCACCGATCGGACGCGCCCTGCCGCGCCGGCAATCCACTCGACACGCTCACGTCCGACATCGAGCCGTGCCATTTCAGGGTCTCGCTGCTCGAGGCGCTTCCACTGGACGTGGTCACCACGCTGTCTCTTCCCTCTCGAGAGGTGTCTTCCCACGTGGACGTCGGTCTCTGTGCCACCGCCTCGCTGTCTCTTCTCAATCTGGACGAGTAAATTAGCCGCGTAAATATTCGAAGAAGCGAAGATAGCTGTTTGATTATTCAGAATCCTACCTGTCGAGGAACGGCGTGTTCGTCGTGGAATCGACGCTAGAGACGTAACTGTGATAGCCTTCTGATTGTGCGTAGCTGGCCTGCTGAGAGTGCTGCACCCTCGTGTACTCCTCAAGACCTGCTTGCGTTAGGGTTGCCTCCCTGTAAATGTCCACCTGGAAAAATCGAGTTCGATCAATACTCCAGATACATCGACCGAGGAAGATATCAGATGACTAGTTGAAAAATTACCTGGGACACTTGTGGATCCTGATAGCTCCTAACATAAGCCTCCAAGTCTGCATGGCTAAGAGTCTGAGCGGTTTGCTGTTCTCTTTCAGGTGGCGATGGCACTACGTACTCGGCGTCACCCAAAGCTTTGCCCTCGCGATCCACGCGAGGCCACAATCTCGGTTCCTCCTCCACGTTGCCTCTGTTACGAGACTCGAAAGTCTCCGCGGGGATCTTCTCGCAACGTTCCATCACCGTCTTCAGCTGCAACAGGAAACGATCGTTGTCCCTCTTAAGTGGCATTCGATGCGTTTTCCTTCCATCCGCCTTCGCGTATACGCGTACACACGCACGCCGCGCTGGGGGAAGCGTTACCGAGGAGGCAGCGTAATCGATTGCGCAATCAGCGGCCGTGTACATGCGTTCAGAGCTGGCGCGTAATTGAACTTAAGCTGTATCCCCGTTTTTGCTCTTCCCCGAGCATCGAGTGTCAGCGCGTAATGCGTTTCGGTTTAAAATAAACCACCGGGCAACGAGCTAATTACCAGGCCCGGGCAAAAACCGCGTCCAGCTAATAAGGAAGTCCTAAATCGAGCAAAAGGAAAGTCGAGTGAATTACGGGCGCGTTAACGTCTCTTCCCCCCCCTCGTACAGAGTTGTTCTCCTGTTTGCTGGAAACGCTGGAATTCGCTGTTACACACAGGCTGAATTGAAAGAGTGAACAGAGAGAGGAGAGAGAGAGAGAGAGAGTAATTGCCTCTCTCTGATCTCGAAATTGCTGGCCTACTTTTCAGGAAGTCGCAACCGGCACAACCACGCGGCGATTATGTCACCGGTAACACGGATAAGGAGAAAGGAGGGTGCGCGGGTGTGGGAGATTAATTATACGTGTCGTTTTAGGGCCCAGCACGATTTACCAAGGTTCCACAGACCTGCCCCGTCTCGTTCTCCGCCCGATGTTTAACGCGACACGTTCGACCAATTAAGCTTCCTTCGGTCTTTCTCTACCTCTCTCTCTCTTATTCTCTCGGTGTGCAACGAGACGTACATCGTCCCCGACGTCGTGAAAGACTTTACACACACGCCGATTACGGGGCACGCTGAAAATGGTGCGATAAGCTCCACCGGCGTCGTCGCTCGTGACTCGTTAACGGGCGTCGAAAGTGCTTCGCCTCTTTGCAAATGAGTTTTCAATTTCGTAACGGCCTCGCGACGCGAGGGAATGCACGCCACTCTGACACATACTGCACACACACACACACACAAGCATCGCGCCGTGAGACTTAATTGCTACGCTGTGACGCATCGACTTGAGAAAAAATTCTCATCGGCCAAGAGAGAAGCTTACCCCTATCGAATCTGTATAACGTGAACACACACCGTGGATAGATTCGAGGATACATCACCTGCTGCGTGAACGTAGGATTGGGCCTCTTCGTGTGCGGTCTGGTGTATTGGGCAGGCTTCTCCTTCGGGTAATTGGTGTGATCGGTCCAAGACTTGGAACGATGGGATCCGCTGTGGCCTGAACTGTGCACGTCCTCGTCCGTGTGTCTCTCCGGTGCGCTTGGCCAGGATGGATATTTCTCGTGGCCAGGTCCATAACAGACACCTTTGAGACTTGACGCGTCTCTAACCGGTGGCGTTGGCGGTGGCGACGCCTCGTCTCTTTCATTGAGAGGGAGCGTGTAGCTGTCGAATCCGAGGCTCTCGCTGTACCTGTTCCACGTGCAAACAAGGAAACACCGTCTCGTTTAATCGTCGATCGACATGTTATCCGGGGGGGGAATTTATGGAAACGAGGGACGGAAGATTGCTCGCGCGGGAGTAATTATACCGGCGGAATCACGTGCGAATTACCGGGTGATTAGCACTCGCGATGTCGCGCGATGAATCACCGGACGAAACCAGTCGTGGATCTCCATCTCCGGCGGCGATGTCATTGAACCACTTTATTAGCAGGATGCGTGTTCGTCGCGTAATTTATGGAATGAAGAACAAGTTCAACGTAACTGGAAATGCGTATAATCAGGGTATAATTGCGACGGCGTTCGCGAACCTCCGTCGTCCCCGTAACGACGAGACGCCGCGCCGTTCGAACACCACGTTCCAACCTATCGCGAAATCTAAGTGTGCCGGGACTAATACAGCCTGCCTCTAATTGGCTGCCGAACGGTATCTCTTATCTTTCTTGCAAAAAGTTGCTCGATAAAAGAGTCTACGCTAGCAGACTCGTGGAAACTCGTTCCTTCCGCGGAGGGCGAGGGGACGATGAGAACAATAAATTTCGGTGCAACGAGCTGATCGAGTTTCCAATGCATTCCTTCACTATTAAGGTGTCTTAGTTGGATGAGCGAGAGAGTAGGGTTCGTTTAACTTTGGATGAGCCGCAGAGCAGGGTCCATTTAAGTTTGGATACGCGAAAGACTAGGTTCCATTTAATTTCGGATGAGACAGAGAGCAGGGTCCGTTTAATTTTGGATGAGTGAGAGGATAAGATACATTTAATTTTGGTCGAGTGAGAGACCAGGGTCCATTTAATTTTGGATGACTGAGAGACTGGGGTCCATTTAATTTTAGATGAGTAAAACCAGGGGCCATTTCATTTTGGATGACTGAGAGACCGGGATCCATTTCATTTTGGATGAGTGAAACCAGGGGCCATTTAATTCTGGATGAACCAGAGACCAGGATCCATTTAATTTTGGATGACTGAGAGACCGGGGTCCGTTTAATTTTGGATGACTGAGAGACCGGGGTCCATTTCATTTTGGATGAGTGAAACCAGGGGCCATTTAATTCTGGATGAGTGAAACCAGGGGCCATTTAATTCTGGATGAACCAGAGACCAGTGTCCACTCAACTTTGATTCTACTCGATGGAGAAGTTTGAGAATTGAAAAATCTAAACTGGAGCTGTTGAAATACGGAAGGCACTGGCAATGGTAAGGCGAAATAAGGGATGATCCGCGTACCCGCTGTCGTTCTTGTAGCCCGCAGTATTCTTCTTGTGACTCTCGTTGTAACCGGCAACCGTGGTGGCTTTCTTGGCTGTGTTACCAGTCTCGTGCTCGTTCTCCGCGGACCTCCTGCCGTCGTTTCTACGCCGATAGTACTCGTTAGGAGGCACCGTCCGAGACGGACTCTGCTTAAGGCCATAGCCTTCCTGAGGATACGACGGGGAACTCTTGAAATTGGCAGGCTCGCTCCCGTGGCCGTGACTCGCGTACTTGTAAGGGCCCGGAGGACAGGAAGGTGGGCCCGGGGCCTCATCCTGGACTCGATATCCTGGCGGCGACGGCTGCAGTTCCGTCATCGTGTAACCAACGTCCCCGCCATCCGGGATACACCTGGCAAATTGACGGAAAAACAGGTTAGATCAGCAGCCTTCGTGTTACTCATCCTGTCGATTAGCCATCGTAGAAAAGAAAACAGTAACGTATCCCAGCTATTAGAGATCGTCCAGTCTCGATATTTCATTTTCTAGGACACCGCTGATTTATCAATTCAGACATCCAGGTCAAACTGTTCTTCCCTCTGACTCTAATATTCGAGAATTACCGTTTCTCCCCCTCCTCTACACGTGATAATGGTCAACGGTACGTTCACAGTGTGCTCTACATTGGTAATTTCATCCTTCTATCTAACCACCCCATTATCTCTTCGCACTTTGTCTACCTCGCTAGAGAAATTCTATCTGAATTCGTTCGAGAACTCCTCAACTATCTCCTTCTTACTCTGTAAGATCCAGTTTTCAAACAGTCTCAGATTCCCCCGGCGTTTCTTACGTCATCCTCCTTAACCGTCTATTCGCAGAAGCAAACTATTTACCCCACTTTCCTCCTCCCGATATCAACGTACCATCCCGCGAATTAACGTCGTTTCCGATCGATAAATTCGACTGTATATATACACCTAGACCGCGAGCAATTTAACAGCGATACACAAGAAACCGCCTCGAGCACCGCCTTTTTTTCTCGCTCACGAGGAAGCAGACCAGTTCTAATTGAACGGTCAGAAGGTTAATTAAGACAGTAGTGGAGAGAACAGCCCTGGCCGGTGTATCGCGTATCGGCGAAACGGTACCGCGTAAATTAAAATCGTTAATCGAGTAACGTACCACTCGTTCCCGATTAGTCTCGGTCTCACGAATATCACCGTTGATCGACGACGGTCACGCGTAAATTGCCTGGCCGCCGCGTCGGCTGCTTTCACCTCAAGTGCACACGCGCTCCGTCTTTATAGATTCCCGGGGATCTATCGCCGGTGTTACCGCCACGCGCTAATCAATTTGTTCGCGCGAAGAAGTACATTGTCTGGAAAGTGCGAACTCGTCTTTAACTGCGATAAAATCCAACGATCGACTTTTCAGCTTTAACCTTTCGAGCGTGTCCCCGAAGGAGGCGCGACGAGTACCGCTGATGGCGCGTTATCGGCGAAAATCGGACGTGGTTCCCGAATTATGGGAGCCGCGTTGCGAATTTTACGACCTGGGAAGGTTTACGCGAAGGTGTGCCTCGGTAGCAAATTCGCTAATGAGGATGAACGAGAGCCGTGATCGAGGCGTGAATTAAGCAGAGAGAGAGAGAGAGAAGAAAATCTGAAGATTGTAAAACAGATAGAAGATTCTTCGTTTCACTTTAATTCCGTTTCACGTTTACATCTATACGGTCCCATTAGAATTCCTCTGTTAAATCCGTTGATCCTCTTAAGAGTAGGAAGTAGACTCGAGAAGCTGCTGTAATATAGCACTCCAACAGATGTGTTCTCCTCGACTAAACCACCCACATTAACCCTTGAATCAAAAGGATCGGGATGAACTTCGACACGTGATCTCGCAACAGGCATATTACAAATGATGACTGGTCGCTTCTGGCGCAGCCTCTCTCTCTCTCTCGAGAGAGAGAGAATAAAGGATTGCTTTCATTTGTCGCCGATGAAAAATTCACTGCCCACGCGCGGCCTCCGCGAGACGTTTTCGTTTGGAACGGGAACGCGTCATATTGACCGTCATCCGGATGTGGGTCAGCCGAATGCTCCTGAAGATTCGCGGTGAGCTGAACAATTGGCCGTATATCAACGGTTATCACGACGTATCCTACGATCGCTAGAGATATGGATAGGCCGTCCCAGATTCTTCCGCGTTCATCCAGGACCAGCAGTCTCTCCGCCCCGCGCGATTAAGATCGATCGTGGTGTCCGCTATGTGTCCTCTTGCAAGAATAATTCAATGCACGGAGTTAGGCAGGTAGGAGGATAGATTCAGTGTTATAAGAGTCGTACAGGTTGGTACTGGATTTTTATGCATTTACGGAGAATTTGAAGGCACGAGAATACACGCAATGCATGTAATAAGCATGAACACAGAGGTAAAACTGAAATATTAGTGCTCGTTATATTAATTGCCCGTTTAGTATGATAATGTGAATTTGCATAAAAATTTGTAGTTTAGTTATTGCAAATATGGATTATGCATTTGGAAACACACGTTTATAAAAAGAATAGGGGTTTGTTAGACGAAATTACAAATAAACGTTCAATATTGTGAGAGAAAAGTATTTTTTATTTTATTTCAAGACTAATATTAACCTTTCCGCGATGTATCCCGAGTGAGATTTGGACAGAGCACTAAATACCGAAACTCTTAAGAAAAGAAATTCATCCAGTGAATTTTCACCGAAAAGAACAGTGAAAGATAAAAGAAAATAGCCAGACTCGTGCCAAAAATAAGAATAAAAATAGAGATTCATACAGCGAAAGATAAAAAAAACAAAGTAAGTAGACTCTCTCACATCGAAAATAAGAGTAAAAAGAGAAACTCATACGGTGGATTTTGCCCAGAAAACAGTGAAAGATAAGAAAAATAAGTAGACACCCGCTACTGCTGCGCGAACCACAAATCCTCGAGGCGTCGTCCGACATAATGGCGGATGATCCCCGATCGGCGAGGAACGCGCTCAGGTTCGCGAGAACCACGCGTTCCCCGCGATCCGCACGCATTCCGTCGTCTCGTGTCGGTTGCAAAATGCGGCGAAACGATTTTGTAACGAGCGAAAGTATGCGCCGCGGCGGCGCACCGTGCCGCGGAGCGAAACGTAAAAACTGATAATAAGCGACCGTCTCTCCCGAGAGTGCCTCGATCTCCGGCTATCCCCCCGGCTAATGAATAAGCGCATGGCCGATTTAATAAATGGACCGAACTGGCAATGACAACTCGTAATAATCCAACGGATATTTAATAACCACCGGACGATTCGCGAACGACCGATCGCTACAGCGAGAGAGACACGAATTCGACAAAAGCTTTCGCACACAGCCGCGTGGATCGTAAACAGCATCGAGTAGCTCCACGACTAATAAATTGAATATAAAAGCACATTATCGGCTCCCATATACATTAGGAACTCACGATCCTTACCTCGCGTTAAATTCGACTGGTTATGGTGGGCGTGTCAACGATGTGGTTTCGCGTAATAATAAACGAGACTGGATAAAGGTATTTGACAGAGTTACGATTTTCTCTTCGATCGGGATACCTGTCGTTTGCTCGAAATTTATCGCGAATTCGACGATATTTAGACGATACTAAATTCTCTCTCTCCTTTCCTATACGTACAAGCGTTCCTGGAGAATTGTGAACCAGTAGGTCAGGCCAAGTGAATTAACGGAGTATGGTACACACTCACGGATCGTTGTTCTTTTCTTTTTGCATTATGGGGAGGTTGTCGCGAAAGGATTGTTACGTGCAATCAGACCAATTACCGTGGTTCCTTTGTATAAACTGCAGAGTGAGTTGCATCGCGGCTGACAACAAAATACTCCTTCCTCTACGGAGTTTCTTGGCAATAGTTTAATAATAGTCGCGGTAATCACATCCTACCGGATTCCATATGAGCGCGCACGCAATCCAGCGCCGGAACGTGTAATTTGCCCTGTCGGAACCGTCGAAACTTTAAACGGGAGAACGCAGGGGACTGGGGAGAATTAGAAAAATGAGGCTAGTAGGATCAGCGACACTTGTCTGTGACTGGTGACAAAATGCAACGGCTTCCGATGGTTTTCATCTAATCAACGATGTATTTTCTTGGTTGAAATTGTTTGAAAGATTGCCGTTACCAACGGTGGTGAATGAAATTTTACGTTAAAATGTGATACAAATTTCGGGTATTGTGTGCGTGACTTTTGCCAGTACATACGGTGCATACGTGACACGGGTAAATATGCGAGGAAACGTGTAATCTTCTCGGTTAGGACCATCAAAAATTCTCGTGCACCCAATAATTTCTCATCTCCGCAAGTGGTTATTTGTAGTTCCACACCGTGCTAATGCTTCTTTTTAGCGGACATTGTTGCTATTTCGGTAGTGGGCATACATCTTCGAACGCTCGCCTTGCAATTTCGAGGTTTCAGCAACAATTTCAGGGTCTATATGCATTTTGAAGTCTCTCGCGTTGTAACGTACACTTTTGCAATGATACAAGTGAATTCAAAAATATGAAATTTCAAAAATTTTAAAATTAGAAAAATTGGAATTTTCAAAGATTCAGAGATTTAAACTTTCAAATGTTCCAAGATTCAAAAATTTTTCATTTCAAGTGTTGAAAGATTCAAAGATTCAAATATTCAAATGTTCCAAGATTCAAAGACATAAAATTTCCAATATTCAAAGATTCAAAGATCTAAAATTTCAAATATTCAAAGATTGAAACTTTCAAACGTGCACAGATTCAAAGATGGGAAAACTCGAACGTTCCAGGATCCCCTCACTCGACGATTAAAACCCAAGCAATTTTAATTAGCACAATTTCTCCACGGAGAGGCGGTTTACATAAAAGTCCAAGTACCCAAGATCCCATCGTGAAGCACGAATACCTCGGATATTCGCCAACGAGGGCGAGATTCCGCTGGAGAAACGTTAATAAACTCATCGCGCGGCGAAAACGGAACGCGGAACGAAACTCTCGCACGAGAGCCAACGAGCCTAAATTATCAGATCGTTACGAGAGCGCTGTCGGGACGAAAACGAGCAACACACGATCCTGTGTCCGGCTTGGTTGAATGGGCCCTGGAATCGCGCGTATACGACAGAACGAATCTGAATGGAACGTAACGAGACATAACGCTCCTCGAGGGGTTCAACGGAATGCAGCCGAACCGGAGGAAATACGACGTCTCGAATCAAGTAGAACGAACCAAAAGCATTTCCAACCACGAAACAGACAAAAGAAGGCCAGACAAAATCGTGCACGGCAGCAGCCTGCACCTCTTCTTTCAAAGGAAACCAGAAAGAATAGAAGAGAGAGGAGAGAGCTCGGGTGAAAGAGGAAGAGAAAGATGGTAGAAGGATAAGCGAGCAGCAAACCTAGCCACGGAATTACGCGTGTTTCGAAGACGAAAAGAGTGGCGCGACTCGCGTTA